ATTCACCAAAAGCTTTACAATCTTTTGAGAATTTGTGTTTTATAGCTGAATTATTGAAGAAAAAAGATCGAGATACAAAAGTAAATTTTGAATAAAAATTACTGATATTCTTTGCTATTTTTTATAATTCAGGCTGATATGGAATGGAAATTTGTCGCTATGGTAATTTTTAAAAAATTGACAAATTTTTTGGGTCCAAACAAAATATAAATTTAAAAATTCTTTCTAAATAGGTTTTTGACCGCTTATTTCTTATCATTTTTTCAATTGCTTGTGTATTTGGCACTTGTTGGATTTTACTTCAAGCACCAACATTTTATGATAAAAGACAACCCAAACAACCAATGATGAGTTTATAAATAAATCAAAAATATTTGTATATATTTCAGTATTTTTTAAATTTTAAAACAATAAAAAGTTAGAGAAATAAAACAAATAAAAATAATATATTTAAAAGTAATACCTTATAGAGGGTAATATCAAATTTCGCTCAAAATGTGTTTAAATAATCCAAAAAAGAGGTCGAAAATATCCATTAATTTTTTTATTGTGTACATCCAAAAAAACAATTTCACAACCCGATTATTTATAAATTAATCTGTATTAGTAGAAGCACTATTATCACCTCCACTGCTGAATATACTGTTCCAAAGCTTTCCAATAAATGAGTCTTCCTTTCCCTTCACAAGGCTTGAATCAGCCTGAAATTTTAAAAAATTAAATATACAAAAACAATAGCAATAAGAACTTAAGGAATATCCACAAAAAGTGGGTGTTCGGATATATCGGGACAGACATATCTGGATTTGTGTGCAAAAACTATTTTTTCAATAGGAAAATATAGTATCCAAGACCCATCGGATACTGAAATATTCCGAAACGTCAGCTTGCCCAAAAAGATTGGAGTCTTATTTAATTTATTTATTCAATATAAAAATGACAATGAAAGGGATGGACACTTACATCATTGTCTTAATAAAATATATATTTGGTCAATGGTAATAAATTAACTGAATATTCAACAAAAATAATCATAATGAAGGGATATTGATATACACAGATATACGACTAAGTTAATTGTCAAATTGCACTGGAGAGAAATGAACTGGGTTACGTTTCACACCAGGCATGCAAGTCTGAAAAAAACAGCAAAATAAATTATAGTAAATTTAATTTTAAGATTATCTAGCCTAGATGTATATCTGTGTATTAATTTAAATAAAACATATAATAAAAAAAAAAAATAAAAAAAAAACCTGAAAAAAACAGCAAAATAAATTATAGTAAATTTAATTTTAAGATTATTTCAGTCTAAAATAAAAAAATTTTTTTAATTAAAAATCCAAACAACTAAGAAATGCTAGAGTATAAAAAAGTACAAACAACAGCATAAGGAATAAATCGATTAGGCCACTTTGACGCCAAGCCCACTTAGGCGCAAAAAAAAAAATAAATTAATTTGAATATTTAGGCGCGAAAATAAAAATAAATTAATTTGACCATTTAGACGCGAAAGTATAAAAATTAATTGACCATTTAGTCGCAAGGTAATTTAATTTGGCCACTTAGATGCAAAGCCCATTTAGCAAAAAAATACAGTTTTTAACTTTGGATTTTTTTAGATTTTTTTAGATAGCCTGGATGAGTTTAATTAATTTTTTTTTAAGAACACTCAGTTTATTTATACAATAAGTATTGACTTAAGCTTATTTTTAAAATCTAAGGGTGATTTACTTAAAATAGTATTTTTACCTAGTATATTCCACATTTTAGTTGTTCTATTTATAAATGATCTAGAACTTTTAGAATTTTGTTTTTTTGAAATAATTCTATGAGAAGAATGGCTAGATTTCTTAATAGGATGAGAAAAGAGTGTTTCAAGTCCCAGGTGAGAATAACCATTAACTATTTTATACATAAGCATTAAATCAAAAATTTTACGTCTATTCTCAAGTGTTTGAAGGTTTAGATATTCCAACCTATTCTCATAGGGTAGTTCGGGTAAATTACATTTTTTAAAAACTTTTTTAGTAAAAAATTTTTGGCATTTTTCAAGAGAATTAATTTCTGTTTTGTAAAGAGTGTTCCAAGATTCCGGTGCGTATTCAAGCATAGGCCTAATATAACTCTTATATATCAGTATCCAAGTTGATGTTTTTCTTGACTTTATTATTCTAAAAATTGTTTTCATCCTTAGATAGGCGTTGCGAATAATTATATTAATGTGTTCTTTAAACCTAAGCTTGTCGTCTATGATTATTCCAAGGTCGCGAATAGATTGAACTTCATTTATAGTATTATTAAAAATCTTATATTGATCCCTTGGGTTATCTTTACCTAAATGAAGTACGAATGTCTTATCAACTGATATATCTAAATTCCATTTTTTTGACCATTCCTCGACGTTTTTAAGGGCAACTGCTAGTTCTAATCTTTCATTTTTAGTCTTATAAACTTTATAGATTTTAACGTCATCAGCAAATAGTTTAATTTTGACTCCGTTTGGAATAACGTCGGATAAGTCATTTATATAGATTAGAAACATTAGTGGGCCAATAATGGATCCTTGGGGAACACCCGTGGTAATTCCATATGGGTTTGATAAAACATCATTAATTTTTACTTGATATGTTCTATTTGATAAAAATTCACTAATCCACCTATGTAGTTTTCCCCTAATTCCACAGGCATATAATTTGTCAAGAAGGAGTTTGTGAGGAACACTATCGAAAGCTTTACAAAAATCAATATAAATACAATCTATATTCTTTTTTTCAAATAAGGCTTCGTACCAATCCTCCAAGCTACTTACTAGCTGAAGAGTAGTGGATCTTCTTCGAATAAATCCAAATTGATCCGAACTAAAGAACTTTTTATTCTCTAAGAAATTTATTATATTTTTTACAAGTATTTTTTCCATGATTCTGCAACTACAGCAAGTAAGTGAAATTGGACGATAGTTTAATGGATTAGATTTTTCGCCTTTTTTGAAACTGGGAATAACTAATGATTTTTTCCATATGTCAGGTATAATGCCTTCATCCAATGAAGCTCTAAATAATTCAGATAAATAAGGTGCCAATATTATGCTTATATTTTTTAACATAAGATAATTTATGCCATCCGGGCTAGCGCTGTTTTTTGATGGTAGGGCTTTTAGGATTTCATAAACTTCAATACTTGTAACATCAATATCATTCAATATATAAGTAGTATCTGAATTAACGCTAGCAATAATATCATTGCGAGAAACATTAGAGTTAAAATTGTTAAAATTTTTGTGAAAAATTTCTGCAAAAAGTTCTGCTTTTTCAGAATTCTCTATATAGACTTTATCCTCATATAATATAACTGGTATATCTCTATTGTTTTTATAAACTTTGTTAACATATTTATAAACATTAAGTGGATTATTTGAAATGATTTTGTTTTGTTGTTTACTAATAAAATTTTTTATAGCGATTCTAATATATAGAGATATACTGTCATATTTTGATTTATATTCCTTATTAATTTTTTGTAACCTGTATAATCTCTTTTTCTCAGCTATAGAAGCTTTTAAGTGAGCGGGATATTTTATTCTTCGATCTTTTTTAGTTATAATTTGTTCAGGGATGAAAATGTCAAATGAATTTAATATTGACTTAGCAATTATATTATATTTGTCCCCAATTAGAAACCCAGTATAAATAGTATTTTTTAATAATAGGGACAAATATGGGTTTAAATTGCTTATTTTATTCTTATTATAAAATCTTTTTTTTATTCTATTCTCATTTTGTTTACTTATTGGACAATTAATATCAAATAATAATGTTTCATGATCTGAAGAAAAGATTCCTCCTTCAACTAAAACGTTTGATACTAAATTCTGGTTTGTAATTAATATCAAATCTAAGAATGAATTATTTCTAGAAGGCTCGTGTGTGACTGATGTTAAAGTGTTTCTATTAAAAAAATCGATAAAACATTCACCTAATTTAGATTTTGCATAAGGTGTAAAATTAAACCAGCTCAAATCTTTAAACCCAAAGTTGAGGTCACCGAGGATTATACAATTTTCGGTACAAAGAGTTTCGATGTATTTAAAAAGAGATTTTGTACTAGCGTAGCTAGTGTTAGGTGGACGGTAAAGTAATATTATATTTAATTTCTTAAAATTGTTTATTTGTAGACAAATAATTTCTGTGTTGAATTTGGATATTTTTACTTTTTCATAAAATGTAATATTTCTACTTAATAGTATCGCGCATCCCCCACCTAGTTTGGATTTCCTATTAATATAAACAATATTATAATATTCTGAAAATTTGAACTCAAATAAATTTATGTCCTCATCTTTTAACCATGTTTCAGTAATAAACAGCATTTCTAAACCTAGTGTTCTTAAACTAATTAAAAACTCATCCATTTTATTTCTAATTGATCTTATATTTATTAAACCACTTTTTATTTTATTTTTTGAAAAATTTTTATTTTTAGTCAACTGGTAGGTATCAAAGTGGCCATCCCTTACTCCTTATGCATTGTGGCAAACACATTTAAAATTATTGGGGTTTGATTTAAATAAAGGGATGTCCTTAGCGGACAGGACATGGTCAGCATAAATAACATGATCGGAGTTGGGATTTTGAGAATGCAAAGTTTTACAAATTTCAATAAGCCTAGACCGTTCGGCTCGCTGAGCCTTAGACAAAGATTTACGAACAAATAACTTATTAAATTTAGAATTTTTTAATTTTGATTTATTCAATAAAAATTTTCTTGCAAAAAACCTGGTTGGTAATTCCACCTTCAAAAGTCGCGGTCTTCCAGAAATTGTTCCCATTCTGTAAACTTGACTTGGTCTGCATTCCACATCGCATAAATCAAGAATTTCTTTGACTTGTTCAAAATCTTCTTCCACACGCTCCTTTGCATGTTCACAATTACTTTCAGGTAGATTGGTGATCACGATTGCTTTTTGTTGTTTTTCTTCTTCAATGAGATCCAGGAGAGTGTCACGCATTTGAAGTTTTTGAATAGTTTGTTGTTGTTCCATAATTAAATTTTGTTGTTGAGCCATTTGAGTCAATAATGTGGTGCAAAATTGAAACATTTGCTGCATTGTTGTCGTATTATCGGTTCCACTGTTGCTTTCCATTTGTTTACCAATTGCTGCTAATTGATTAGCAAGTTGGGTAAAGGTGTCAGAAGAAGACATTTTTTGCTTTTGGCTGTCAAATTGCACTGGAGAGAAATGAACTGCGTTACGTTTCACACCAGGCATGCAAGTCTTAAACTTGGGTAATTAAATTATTTTACGAAAATTTATTTTGAAAGAAAAATTGATCTTAAATTGATCTTAAACTTCAAGCACCAACATTTTATGATAAAAGACAACCCAAACAACCAATGATGAGTTTATAAATAAATCAAAAATATTTGTATATATTTCAGTATTTTTTAAATTTTAAAACAATAAAAAGTTAGAGAAATAAAACAAATAAAAATAATATATTTAAAAGTAATACCTTATAGAGGGTAATATCAAATTTCGCTCAAAATGTGTTTAAATAATCCAAAAAAGAGGTCGAAAATATCCATTAATTTTTTTATTGTGTACATCCAAAAAAACAATTTCACAACCCGATTATTTATAAATTAATCTGTATTAGTAGAAGCACTATTATCACCTCCACTGCTGAATATACTGTTCCAAAGCTTTCCAATAAATGAGTCTTCCTTTCCCTTCACAAGGCTTGAATCAGCCTGAAATTTTAAAAAATTAAATATACAAAAACAATAGCAATAAGAACTTAAGGAATATCCACAAAAAGTGGGTGTTCGGATATATCGGGACAGACATATCTGGATTTGTGTGCAAAAACTATTTTTTCAATAGGAAAATATAGTATCCAAGACCCATCGGATACTGAAATATTCCGAAACGTCAGCTTGCCCAAAAAGATTGGAGTCTTATATTTAAATTAAAAAAAAACTAACACTGCCATTCATAGAAACAAGGCTTGAGTTAAGTGGACGCATTCCAGATCGTGTTGAGAAGGAAAGACGTGCACGACTAAAGAAATAAAATAAATATATGCATAATGATCCACAAAACAAAACCTCGGAACTGAGATGTCTTCTTTGCAGAAAGAAGTAGACGGAACAAGTCTTGTCGGAGTATCACCGCCATTAAAGTGGAGTAACGAAGACATATCATTTTCCAAAAATGAGCAGGAACCGTTAGAACTATTTCGAGAAGATTTTGGTGGAACTGTTGTCTCTTGAACAGTCAAAGCATCACGTTCCCTACACGGCACAACACCAATCATTTGTCCATGAAAAAGTGTTGCATTTTTGGCAAGAGCCTGGCGAGCATGAACTGGTGACGAATAACGAAGATGTACCCAATTTCCATCCTTCGTTGCCTTAAATAACAAAGAAATGAATTTAAAAGTAAAATTTTAAAAAATACCCGTTGTGCCATGATATCCCCATGTCGAGAAAATAATTCCAAAACGTCGTCCCGAAAATCAGGTGTAAAGCCAAAAACAGTGACCCAATGAAATTCTCCATCGCTGCCATTGCAAGTTTCTTCGGAATCGATTTCACACATTTCTTCAACTTGTTCACCACCATTGCTTTGAAAGCTAAATTGCTCTGAATGCGACGGCTCCATTCTCGAAAGTTTTGAAGGTGGTCCAACAATTTCCTCGTTTAATGAGCGAAGAGGAGGTCCTTTAACATAAAAGTAATCTCATTGTCAGGAGCTTAAACAGTAAATTAGCCAAGTGCAACATTATTTCCTAGCAAAACGAAAAAGTATTCCTAAATATTAATAACGGATTCGAATCAAATTTACAATAATTCACTAGCTCAGATTAATACCTTTAAATTAACTAATATAAAAGAAACCATTCCAAAGAGAAGTAGAAGCAGATTTTCCGCTGCTTAAACGTTGCAACTTCCTAGCGTCAGGTGATTTTGAACGCGAACGCACAAGAACAGGTGACCAATGAACATTCTTGCCCGTACCACTTGAAAGTTCCCGTTTTCTTAATATTCCTGGTGAACCATATTCTAAAATAATAGAGTATTGTCAGTCTATCAAATAAAATTAAACCTCCGTTTTTAGATGTAAAACTGCGCCTAACAGGCTGTTGACCGCCAAACAAAAAACTTGGAGCAAATTGTTGAGCATCATTTGAAGAGTTGATATTCGTTTTTTCTGTCATTTTGAGGTCCGAAAAATCGCGAAATTGATTCATAATTATGATTTAGAATGTCTACAAACTCTATAAAATTATATGAAATGTAAAATTAAATTATTGTTATGAAACAGAAAAACAAGTCAAAATACCAAATGTTCTGATAAAAACATTTAATTACAAAAAATATTTTTCAAATATTTATATCTCTCAAGATAAAACAAAATACAAAATCAAATCTAAGGTTTCGTTATTGTCCCTCTCTCAATCATTTCCGGAATTTCAACAGCCATCCAAGGTCCCAATCCAAGTGAAAGAGCATGTGCTATTCCAAATTTTGGAGCATTTCTAAACTATATTTTTACAAAAATAATAATTTAAAAATTAACCTAGACCAGAGCGGTTTAAAATGATCGCCTAAAATATAAATTAGAATTTTTAAAAGACTAATAAGACTCACTCAAACAAATTTTTCCACCTCTGTACATTTTAGCAGTTTTTCCATCCAATTCAGGTAGTGCTAAAAAAATAAAATAAACTGTTAGAACATTTGAACCGATTTCTGGTGCAGTTTTTGGGTATGTAACAGGAAGGTCAAACTCAATATCGAATTCATATTTAATTTTATCGTGATATGTCCAACATTTTCCAAACCTGAATATTTTCAGATATTTATTCCAAAAAATATTAACTAACCATCTTGTCCCATCCGAATTAGATTCTAATCTAAACCAATCTGAATCATTTGCTTTGTTATTGTTTATAAAAGTAATAAGACAATTGTATTCCTCTTTTAAACGTTCAAGCCATAACGGTCCGTCCCTAGTTAAAAATTATTAAATATCAAAATTCATAATAACCTTGGACCCGCATTTGTCTTTAGCAAGGGAATCTGCTTCAAACTCTTTTTTGTTGACTCGTCAAGTGCCATTTGCAAAATTACTGATGTAAAGCAAGGAAATGGGGGGAAAAGACTCTAGAAAGAAAGACTCTAAAAAACTCAGAACTCTAGACTCAAATAAAATCTCGAGAAGTGGACGTTTCAGAATAAACGATTATCGCTGTTTCAAAGTTGGCTGTTCGTCTATGGCCATGGTGGCACGCACGGGCAAAAGGTGATACCGGAAGATAAGGACACTTGAACTAGAGCCGAAGTTTTCTTCGCTCCATGTCAGAATATTTGTAATCAGATAAAGGGACCACGAAAATTTTGAGAATTTGAAAGGCCCAGGGGCCAGATTTCTTCCTTTTCATGCGCAGCAGGCGAAAATTTTGGAAGTTCAAGGAGATAAATTTCTTCCATTTTTGTGCGCAGATTAGTTGTATTTTTGCGTTAATTTCGTCAAAAATAACGCAACATGCAACCAAAATTTAACTAAAACGCAATGCGCTCACTCCTGTTCGGAGTCCTGTTATAAAGTATACAATGCTTTTTTATATACCTATGTGCATTTCAAAATTAATTTAGAAATAATTTTTAAGTTCAATATAAACAAAAAATGCCAAAAAATTTTGTTCAAAATTTGGTTCAATATTTCAAAGAGGTCAAAAAATCTATTAATTTGTTTATTGTGTACATCCCAAAAACAAATTCTCAACCCGATTGATAAATTAATCTGTATTAGTAGAAGCACTATTATCAACTCCATTGTTGGATATACTATTGCAAAGCTTTCCAATAAATGAATCTTCCTTTCCCTTCACACGGCTTGAATCAGCCTGAAGTTAAAAAAATATATTCATAAATATGAGTTCTCCCATTAATAATATAGGTATTTAAATAAATATAAATAACTAACACTGCCATTCATGGAAACAGGACATGAATTGAGTGGACGTATTCCAGCCCGTGTTGAGAAGGAAATTCGTGCACGACTAAAGTTATTAACTACGTTATAATGCTCGGAAAAAATAAAACTTGGAAACTGAGGCGTCTTCTTTGTAGAAAGAAGTAGACGGCACAAGTCTAGTCAGTGGCTCAACGCCAGACATATCATTTTCCAAAAATGAGCAGGAACCATTGAAACTATTTCCAGAAGTTTTTGATGAAACTGTTGTTTTTTCCCTACACGGCACAACACCAATCATTTGTCCACGGAAATGTATTACATTTTTGGAGAGAGCCTGACGAGCATGAACAGGTGACGAATAACGAATATGCACCCAATTTCCATCCTTTGTTGCCTTACACCACAAAAAAATAAATTTAATGATATATTAAAAAGTACCCGATGCGCCATTATATCCCCATGTCGAGAAAATAATTCCAAAACGCCATCAAGATAATCAGGCGTAAAGCCAAAGACAGTGACCCAATGAAATTCTCCATCGCTGCCATTGCAAGTCTCTTCGGAATCGATTTCACACATTTCTTCAACTTGTTCTTGCTCTGAATGCGACGGCTCCATTCTAGAAAGTTTTGAAGGTGGTTCAACAATTTCCTCGTTTAATGAGCGAAGAGGTGGTCCTTTAACATAAAAATTATAAAATAATGTTATGTATGACGCTTAAATCGTAAATGACCAAGGTGAAAAAATATTTCCTAATTAAACGGAAAGGTATTCATAATTAGTAGTACCGGTCATCGGTTATCTCCCCGCATTTCTATAAAGCCCTGTTTTAGAACTGGTACCTCTATTTTCAATAAGTTATTGTTTTCCTATAAAATTTTTACAGGAATTTTAACCCACAATTAGGGTGCACAAAAACTATACTGGACCATTGGTTCGAAAAAGTCGAGTTTGGTACCTATATCGGTATAATTATCTAATTTAAAAGAAACCATTCCAAAGAGAATTAGAAGCAGATTTGCCGCTGCCTAAACGTTGCAACTTCCTAGAGTCAGGTGATTTTGAACGTGAACGAACGAGAACAGGAGACCAATGAACACTTTTGCTTGTACCGCTTGAAAGTTCTCGTTTTCTTAATATTCCTGGTGAACCAAATCCTAAAATGATAAAGTATTGAAGTTCGTTAGCTAAAAAATAAACCTCCGTTTTTAGATGTAAAACTACGCCTAGCCGGACTTTTATGTATTGCCTTTAAATTTTTATGTATTGCCTCACCGCATTCCTAAGATACATTATTAAAAACAATATCAAAAGCATAATAACCACAACAGTTGAAGGAGTATTCAATAAAATTTGTTCTTGTAAATTAGTTGATTCATCATTTATTAAATTATTCGCCTTTTCTGAACTATCTATTAATCCTTCAATAATTTCATTGACAATTTTATTTACATCTTCAGTAGATTCTTCTTCAATATTTTCTTCTATTTCATTAGGCTTATCTTCTACGGATTCGTCAACCACAACAGAGGTATTCCCTTCCGATATTTCGAGCCCTTCCTTTAGTTGTTCAATGTAAGATGTGTGTGCAGGCTCAATTTGTGAAAATGGGTTGCGATTTTTGATTTGAGAAATGCAATTCTACAAAATTAAATAAAAAATTAATTTTAGCGGCATTTGAAAAATTCTGTATTTTCTTTAGACCTTTTATGGTACCAGGCACTTAGCCATGAAGAGGAATTGATCAAAAAAATGAATTAAGCCCTTCTACAAAGTTCAATTTAGTCAAGAAATGCGTGGAGATAATTCAATAGTACTTTTATCATTTATCCAAGTTTCCAATCAATCAGAAGGAAAAGCCCGAATGTAAAAAAATAAAAAAATAGTATATACATTTAGTGATTCAGATTGCATGGTTGTTTCCTTCGTCCAAGCTACAAATTGTGCAAGAAACAAAACTAATTGGCCTGAGCGATCTATATCAGTAGAAGGTGAAAGATTGTAAATATTGTTAAATAAAGTGACAAATAAATTCGTAATTCTTTGCTCAAATTTAACTAAAAGAAAAATATTTTAAAAATTAAACAAAATTGAAAAAACCTATTTTCTTTCTATTGCATTTAACGTCGCAAAACCGAATACATTGCATGGCGTAAACACTATGATCAACAAGAACAATTGGATTATCAAAAACGCACGGTTTTGCATTATCTAAAAAATGAGTTAAGTCGATTACTATAGTGTCTTTAATAAACAAAAAATAAATTAAATTAAAATATTTAAAAACAAGGATCTATTTAAAAACAAGGATCCCTTGGTTTTTCCATAATTTCTTTCCTCACTTAAAATCATCAATTTTCCTTATGTTAGTAGTCGATAAAAATAAAACATAAAAAACAAAAAATGATTTTTGCGCCGCAGGCGAAATGAAAATTTTGGAAGCCTGATAGCCAGAAAAACAAGCTGTAAGGCAAAAATCCCATTTCGGGGAGACCTACGGGTCTGATTATATAGTATAGCTAAGTCCCTAACACAATAAAACAAACGTAATTTCGGCGACACAATTATAAGAGATTCTAAAACATCCAAAAGACGAGGCCACAATTCAGGTATTTCCTTTAAAGTAATATGCGAATAAGCTTTCCTTTCCAATTTTGAATTAAGTAAAGAAACAAGATTTGTGCCTAAAGGGCCACTAACACTTTGATAAATAATAGAAAATTCCTCGTTAGTTGATTTATAATCGGTTGTTCCCCCAACACAATAACGAAGAAGACCGTGTGCAACCTAAAAAATATAAATTTATTTTTAATTTTAAAAATATATACATCTTCAAAATGAATAGAAAGACGAGATTCAAGAGAAATACAACAAAACCACCAACAATCAAACATTTCATTAGCCATTTCTGGGACTTGTTTGTATTTTAAAGCTTTAAGAATAAGTTCAAGCCGACTGGCAATTTTTGCACCTTAATTATGTAAAAATTATAATTAACCGGATAATAAAAAAAGACAAAAAATCCCAACTTTTTTCAGAAGACAGAACAAGCATACTCCACCTTGGATCACTAGCAAATACTGTTACAAGAATTTTCCAGGAGCGAAAAGCCTCTTTCGCGACACTTAGATGCACTGAACGAATTGCCAAAGGAAAAACAGAGACAAACGAATTAGTCTTTCCGCTTGGTTGAATTTCTGCCTAAAATTAATTCAATTTAAAGTTAAAATAATTTAAAAAAACATACAAATCCAAACATTCTTATAGCAATTCCCCAAGCCCTTATAGCTCTAATACACGAAAATTCAATTTGTTTTTCGAGGCAATTTTTCACGAGTAATAATCCTTCTTTTTGGAGCCATTGCACTAACTTTTCATGAATGGAGAGACCAGATTTTGTACCAGATTTTGAAGTGAGATCAATTCCAATACCAAATTCATCAAATATAAGTGTAAATTTTTCAAAAATCCATCCACCACCCTCTTCATTTTCGAAACTTTCAAAAACATCTTTAACGAATCGGATAGTCCAACTACCATTTATTGCCTTTGAGATTAATTCAAGAATATTTCCATCATTACTAAAAATTAAAAGAAATATTAAATTAAAAAAATAAATCCTAAACAGATTTCTCAATTCCCCTGGATTTTACTCAGTATTAATTATTTAAATCCCATGAAAGAATTTTTTAATCTATCAGAACCTGAATGCTTGTTTATAACAATTAATTCTATCAATAAAACTGTGTAAATTATTCAATTTTGATAAGACCATAATCATTTCTAGCGCCGCTGACATTGTTAATCTAAAAAATATTTGAAGGTGAAAAGTCCAGAAATTTAGAAAAATGTTTTATTTAGTCAATTGAAAACAGTCTTGTAAGAAAGTGACTAGATGTAAGAGAGTGACTAGAGCAGGTGAGAGCAGATTCAAACGGGATCTTGCGGGACCTTTTCTTGAGAATCCCAGGTTTATAGCGACAAAAGGAATTTCCGAATCCCCGTGAATTCCGTTCCGTTTAAAGTTAAAAGGGAGAAAAATGGGCAGAAAAAGGGAAAAAACGTAAAAGGATCAAAAAGTTTAAAATATTCTAAACTTAAGCCAACAACAAAAGAGTGTCCTGACAATCCGTCAGTGGACAATCCGTCATTTGCCGGATAAAACGTCAGTAGACCAAACGGTGGCTTTATTTGTGTTAAATTCTGGCCTTGCATGTGTTTTGTTATTTTTGTTATTTTTGATTAATTTATCCAACAAATTTAGTAAATCTTTCTCTTGTTTTATGTTATCTAAATTTCATTTGTATCTCTTTGAAGGAAAACAGCGACAAATAAATCAACTACTTTGGATAAAGTCCAATTAAAATTCCAATTAACTTTAATCGCATTTCTTAAATAAAAATCTAATTTCCAAAATTACTTTTAATCAAGCATTTTGCTTGCTTAAAACAAAAGCAATTGAGGATGAAAGGCTTCTCTTATTTTTTTATTTTAGTTATTGGTTATTCCTTCGACGTTGCAAGGGAATGCTAGATTCCTTTAATCATATACATACCGTATATGCTTGAATAATTACCCTCTCTCAAATAATTACCCTCCCTAATATTACCCCTATTTTTCATGGCTGGTGTGTCCATAAATGATAAAACAAAAAACATTTATGTTTTAAAGTCGAAATAATTTTTACCCCTCTCAAATAATTACCCCGTATAGCGAAAGGTTAAAACAATAATTACCCAGGCAATTATTCGAGCATATACAGTAATTTTAATTTGAGAAGTTTATTTTATCTAAATTTAATTGAAAATATATCTGGATTTCTAGCTAATCCCTACAATTAACACAAACAGACTCTTCCACTTCCTTATTTACTTTTTTTATATTTTTTTCTTTCAATAATTCTTTAATCGAAATTAGCAACCACATTGTTATTTATTAAAAAATTATGGATGAGTAAAATGAAAATAATAACAATGGCACAGCAGGAAATTTTTATTGGACGAGAACTACGAGAATTATAAAATAATTTTGTGAAGAAGACAATTTGTGTACTAACTATTGTTTGGAAAAGGTGTTAAAGATGGGGGAAATACTTGAATTAACAAGAAGAGAGAGGAGAGGGAGGGAGTGATTTTTGGTAGTTTTTTACTAATCCACTTGTATTTATGTGTTATTCTTCATACTACTACATATATTTTAGTTAAAGCTTGTGTCCTAATCCTTGACTTTACTTTTTCTTTTATACAAACAACTCATTAAATCGTCAATTATTTAATAAGAAATTTGTGTATTTTATAAAATAATTTTTTGAGAACAAAAATATTTTAAAGTAGAAAACAATACAAACAATACTACAGTTTTTAAATAATTAGTTGAAATTTAATAATTGATCCTTTTAATAAATTTTTTTATTTTGCAAATTATTCGAGATTGTTAGACAGATAAGATTTACATTTATATATTAATTACATAAACTAGAAATTCTTTAATAAATTATCAATTTATTCAACAATATTTTTATTATATTTAACTCAATTGACATATTTTAGTTTAAAAATCTGCATTTATTTCCTCTTACAAATAAAAATGTTTTTACAGGGTGACACAAAAAGGATGTCCCACTTATTTTTCGTCATAACTTTATTCAGAATTAAGATAATGAGATAAAATAAAGATGATATTATAGAGAACTAAATGAAGAATAAGATATCAAAAATTTTTAGAATTTTCCGCATTCTACTTTGAGATAAAGTTGAAGGCAAGTGAGAAAAAATTTCGATCCGGCACGCACCTTTTTTTGAGGAATTTTGCCTATAACTTTAGAACAAAATGCATGAATTACACAAAATTTTTATGGAATTTAGAGCAGTCTTTGGCCTATAGAAATTATAAAACAAAATTTTATTTGGGTTAACGCTTAAAGAGATATTCGATTGCGCGTAACCCTCCCAAAATGAGTAAATCGCACTCCTCCCAAAACTGATTAACATCTACTCAGAGCCATCTATGTAAGAGTTGGAGTTTTCAGCTTTCAGATTCGTTAGGCTTGCTAATAAGCCTAATTAAATTCTGTTGAGATCATCCCGGTTGGGCTTTTCATTGTTGAGATACAGAAAGTGAAATTTTGGGGAGCAGATTTTGATATAGTATATGTAAAATTGCATAACTTTCCCAATCCTTAATCAAAAATCTTTAATTTTACTATATAATATAGAGAATTGAATGGGCTACAAAAAGAGTATAAAATTATTCAAAAATAAAAAGAATAAAAGAAGTTATAATGGATTGAAAAGTGGGACATCCTTTTTGTGTCACCCTGTACAACTTGTGTTTCTTACTTTTTCCCCAAAATATCAGTCTTTGATTCTTTCAGACTCAGTATCGTTTCAGAATCCCTAATTATGTAAAATTTCTACTTTATTTTTTTTATTTCAGAATAATTTCTGAGAAATAATTTTTTCATTAAATTATTCAAAGTAAATCTCATTATTGTTTACTATTCTTTCCCTTTTTTAATATAAAATACTGTATTTACATCTTGTTTGCGCAAATGGCAATTAACATTTTTCTCTACCTTTTCTCAACATTAATATCTTCCCCCATTTTTCTTCATTCTCGAAAAACCTTCCTTCCATTTTTCTTTTAAATAATACTGAACCCGACGGTCAACTAAACACATTATGTAAAATAAATAAATATTCATTTTTCCAGGATTTTCATTTCCTTTTCTTATGATCCTTTTCCATAATAAATCAGTGCGCGCGGATGAAGGGGAAAGGAATAAAAAAGCAAAAAGGTAGGGAGGGAGAGGGGGGGAATAAACCTAATGAGCCAGTAAACTCTCACATTTTTATTCTTATATTCTAAAAGAATATTTTTAAAAAATTATGCAAAAATTCTGGACGAGGATGGAAAGTTGGTAAAAAGTGTTTTATATGGCAGGAAAGAATAATTAACATATTAGGGTAAGAATTAAATTGCTGAGAATTATCACCTTTTCTATAATATTCCTTGCATTATTGGTGCCAAGTAATATTGTGAATAAGAAGGAATTTTTAAACTGCAGCATTTAGAATGCTTAGACTGGTCTTACAAATTAGTTCTAATAAAGCTCAGCCTCAGTAGTTTAGTTTGTAGGGCATCTTATCC